TTGCAATTTGAGAAATCGCAAAGGCAGCTGATCGAATTGCTCACACAGAAATTGAACCTTCAGACAGAATCTCGGACGACGACGATTGCACGTTCATCAGTGGACGCCCTTACTGCATCAATCACAGAATTTGTGTTCGATGGATTGAGTGGTGTAACCTTCGATTCATGGTTTAAGAAGTATGAGGATATTTTTCGAGTGGAGTTTGCTGACCAAGCTGATGCCTGAAAAGTTCGATTGTTATTGAGAAAACTTGGAGCGGTGGAGCATGAACGCTACACAGATTTCGTGTTGCCGAAAAACGCAAAGGACTTCAGCTTTGATGAAACCGTGAGAACTTTGACGCAGATCTTCAGTGAGCAAGCCTCTTTGTTCAGCATTCGGTACAATTGTTTGAAGTTGTTCAAACGCGATGTTCATGACTTTGTCACTCATGCTGGGATTGTGAACCGCGAATGTGAACGATTCAAACTGGGCACGATGACTGCGGATCAATTTAAGAGTCTTATTTTTGTGTGCAGTCTCCAGTCCCACGCTGATGCCGATATTCGCACACGAATTTTACACAAGCTTGAACAGGAACCACAACTGACGTTGCAGGATATCACTACAGAATGCCAGCAGATGATTAATTTGAAGCACGATACAAAAATGGTTGAAACTGCTGATCACAAAACTGAACCCCAAATTCGTCGTACAGCTATCCGACGTAAAGGAATGAATCGAACTGGATCAACTCAGAAGCCCCCGACCGCATGCTGGAATTGTGGCGCCGGGCATTTTGTGAGAGATTGCACATATAAAACACACCAATATCAGAAGTGCAGACGGATTGGCCATAAGGAAACCCACTGCCGAGTTGTGAACAATTTCAGACGTTCTTTTCCCCCAAAAATGCGCGTAAATCCCAATTTTAGAAGAGCCAATTTTCACGGACCGGCTGCGAAGATAATCCTCGCCGCCTTTCGCACAGAACTTGCACGCAAGAGAAAGTACGTGTCAGTAAAAGTCAATGGTGTTCCTATCACGTTGCAGCTGGATACGGCGTCCGACATTACAATCATCTCGAGATCAGTCTGGAAGAGGCTTGGGAGACCAGCATTCAAACGCACAACCCTAACGGCTAAAAACGCATCTGGGGGACCACTGAGATTAGATGGTGAGAATAAGTGCGAAGTCATCTTCAATGGCTTGAATCTTCGTGGCACGATTTGCTTGGTTACGAGCAGTGACGTAAATCCGCTCGGCATCGATTGGATCGAAAAGCTGCATCTACTCGACGTACCATTGAGTCACATTTGTTCTGAGAATAATGTCGCGGTGCTTCATACAGCCGTATCGAATCAGCCGGGTCAAAGTATTGCAGAACTGCTTCAATCGAAGTATGCATATGTATTTCAATCAGAGCTTGGACATCGCACGAAAATGCAGACAAAGCTTACCTTGCTTCCTGAGGCAAAGCCAGTCTCCCGACCCAGACGTCCAGTCCCTCACGCAACCCAAGCACTCGTGGAGCATGAGCTTGATCGATTACAGCAGGCCGGTGATCGAGCAAGTCACTTTCTCACAATGGGCGGCGCCTATCGTTGTGATCAGAAAACCGAATGGCTCAGTTCGTTTGTGTGCCGATTTTTCAACCGGCTTGAATGCTGCATTAGAACCCCATCAGTACCCGCTTCCACTCCCAGGCGACGTGTTTGCAAAGTTAAATGGAGGCAAGTACTTTGCTACTCTGGATCTGGCAGACGCTTATTTGCAACTGCAGGTCGAACCGGAAAGCAGAAAGCTTCTAACAATCAACACGCATCGCGGCCTTTATCAGTATAATCGTTTGCCATTTGGAGTAAAAACTGCACCAGCAATCTTTCAACAAGTTATGGACGCTATGTTGACTGGCTTGACGGGAGCAGCAGCCTATCTAGATGATATCATCATAATGGGAGGAACCCAGGAGGAGTTGTTTCAACGATTGGATGACGTGATGATGAGAATTAAGTAATATGGATTCCGGTTGCGAGCTGACAAATGCAAATTTTTCCTGAAATCCATCAAGTTCCTGGGTTTCGCGATTGACGAGAACGGTCGACGGCCTGATCCTGAAAATATCGAGGCCTTAGACAGATTACCGGCACCAACGGATGTCACAACCTTGCGCTTATTCCTTGGGATGGTGAGTCATTATAGTGAGCTCCTACCTTTATTGCATGAATTACGTCATCCTTTAAACCATTTGTTGATGAAAGATGTTGAATGGAATTGGTCCGCACAGTGTCAAGAAGCTTTTGACAAACTCAAATCTCTGTTGAAAAAAGAGTTGTTCCTTACGCACTACAATCCGAATCAGGAGATTTTCGTGGCTACGGATGCTTCGAGTTATGGAATTGGTGCTGTTATCTCACATCGCTTTCCAGACGGGTCCGAAAAGGCTGTGGCACATGTGGCACTAGCGCTGACCGCATCTGAAAAGAACTACAGTCAAATTGAGAAGGAGGCGTTGACTATCATCTTTGCCGTACAGAGATTTCACAAGATGATATATGGCAGAAGAATCACGCTGGTGACTGATCACAAACCGCTTTTGGCAATCTTTGTGTAGAGGGGCCGCGTCCAAGAATGGCTCTGGGGAGCTCTTCGGAGCTAGCTGAGAGCGGATCGAGAAGGACGGCTAGCGACGAGCCTGGGCCCGGAACTACGGAGCGGGAATATGTGGACAGCGCAATGAATCAGACATATACGCCGCTAGCGCAGCCCACAGGACCGACGCCGAGCCGATTGACACAGCCCAGAACAAGCAAGTCGAGAGCTCTCGAACGACTCCTGGCCGATCCAAATCGGATACAGAGAAGTGGAGATCGAGGCGAAAACAGGAAGGCGGGACTTCCAAGTCAGAGCTCCCGAGGCGAAAGGACTGGCTCGTCTCTAACATCCGCACCTGTGTTGCGTGGTGGGACGGAAATCTAGTCGATATTCGATGGCGCGCGTGAGACCCTTATGTGCCCATTTTCGGTGTGCAATAAACGTCTACCCCCCTGTCGTGTCGTTCTCGCTACACTGGTGCCGTGACCAATCGCGATGGAGTTGACCCGGTTGGAGCAATTTGCGGCCGGTGATGTGGAGGCGTGGCTCGATGAGTTCGACGGAATTGCGGCTTGCACGGGGGTGAGGGGGGATGCAAATTTGCTAATTGCTTTGGGCACACGGTTGAGTGGACGAGCCTAGGCGGTGTATCTGCTCACTCGAAAGGCCAAACCCGGTTGTTCGTTCGCTGAGATGAAGGCTGCCTTGTGTGCAGAATTTGGGAAGGATCTGGAGAGAGAACGAGCACTGCAACAATTTCACGCAGCCAGACAGGACGAACAGGAGGATCTGATGGTGTTTTTCCAGCAGCTGGACAGACATCTAACGATTGGGCTCCCCGAGTTAGAGGGTAACGCAAGAGAGCGCCTACTGAAACAGCAGTTTATCCGAAGTCTGCCCGGTCCACTCCATGATCAGGTGAAATTGGCGTCGATGGTGGGAGACAGCAAAGCGTTGGATCTGGTGACGGTCGCCCAGAATTTGTCGGAACGAGTGACAGTGAGAAGCATCCAGCATGCTGAGTTGGAACAGCAAGTAAATCGCCTATCCGAAATGGTGGAGCAGCTGTTGTCGATAGAGTCTTCAAGCACCACTTCACAACGCAACGTACGGGTAATCCGGAACGGTCGCCGCTGTTTCCGATGCAACCAGAATGGTCATGTGGCGAGATTCTGCACCAACGTCAATGTGCCCCATTGTTTCTCTCTATCCATGCCGAGTCGGTGGCGAGTACCAGTCCTCCAGGTAACTATAGAAGGTGTGTCTGTCCGAGCCATAGTAGACACAGGAGCGGCAGTGTCAATTACGAAGAGGTTCAATGGTGTTCCAGTAAACCCATCTTCAATCACGATGCAGACGGTCGGCGGGCATTTTTTGAAAGTGACGGGCACGCAGCGGTTACGAATCAGGATAGGAGAAACGCTCATCAGCCATGACATGTTCATCGTGGAGTAGACGACCGAAACCATCATCGGAACCGACATCCTGAAACGGCTCGGTGTCACAATTGACCTGAAAAACGATGGGTGATCGTGGCTAACGAGACGATCGAAATAAACAAGGGGAGAACCGACCGGGTTGGTGCCCTCAAAGCCGTGCCTGATTGTCAGCACCGTGCAATACGCAACGTACTGAGCAGGTATGCCCACTTATTCACAGACGCGGAAGATGATTACATTCTTTGGATCTCGAATATGTCTGGGTTCTTCATAGTGTGGCGAGTTCAGATGACGAGTAATTCGTAGTAAGTTTATGGGCTTGGCTTTAACACTCGTCAGCACGCACAATGAGTTCCATTGGTCTTGGTCGTTTGATAACTTATACCGCAGTGTAATGGCGGTAGGTTCAAGGACGATTGAACAGACAGCAATCTGGTCACTGTTGTTGGATCTCTTTTCGTTGATCTACAAGGGATAGTACTCGTTTGTCCTCACCCGCTGACAAGTGTGCATTGTTTACTGTTTGTCCCTCTATTCGCATTAATAGTGCTTACAACAGAAGAGGCAGCAACGGCGGCCTCCCTACGGACCTTTGCAGCAATCACTGCACATGTAACTGAGGTTCCGGGGGTCTTTGTCTCCAAGAGAGAGGATTGAGCATCAGGTACCGAGGGTTGGTGTTCGGCTGCTTCATCATTGTTAATCCTCGATGTCAGGTCTATTGGAAGTTGCTTATGCAGAATTTTCGAGTAGTGCTTGATTTTCGTTGCTAGGAGTATTGTTTGACTCTTGTAGGTACGGTTTGTTTTCGTCCGGCGTTCTACTAAATTTAGAGAAAACAACGGAGATGGCGAAGTGGCTGATGGCGTTTCAAACGAAGCGGATCGTGCAGTATTCCGTTGCTTAGAAGCCGCTACGCTTCCGTAGTGCATACACGTTTCGATTGAAGTTGTTGTGACGCCCAGTACGCCTTCACCCCACGACCGCAAGAAGAAGTCCAAGATGAGCCGGGATGAACAGATTTTCTATTACAGCACGGCACCAGTTATATAGCTTTACAAACAAGGGCGAATCCAAGCTACTAAACGCATGAGATCCAACAGGCATGGAGAAAACACAAAATGGAACAAGCAAATGAGAATCGCGAAAATTACGAGCCAATGAAGTGCGGCAAAGAAAATAGTGTCTGCGGAGTTAATCCCTGGGGGTAACCTTCTGGTGAGCGACCATTAAAAACGACGAGTAGCGTCCAATCAGTGTGGAGAAGTGATGCGTTTAAACAAATGCCAGAACAGTTGATAGTGAGAATGATACACACCAGGAAAATAAAAACAGGTATAATAAATATGTGTCGGCTGAATAATACATCCACGTGAAAAAGCTAAGGAACGCTGAGCAAAAGAAACCAATCAGAATGTCCACAGAATGAGACGGCTGAAATTAGCTGTGAGCGATTGCGAATGAGGCTGAGGAAAGCGGCGTGTCCAAAATGTAGCAGAGAAGCAGGTAACTGCGCAAACAAAGAAATAGGCAACTAACATAATTCATGAAACTGAGGGTTAAGTAGCCAGCTCCCTAACATCTCCCCCTTCTAAAAAGTTAGTTACCTGTACGGAACATAGCTTTTCCGACGCGGGTCCACTTGAAACGGCTGTACAAATTTTCTTGTTCGTTGGGGTCTGTTCCGACCTTCTTGTTCCGGGCATTCCCTTGGTTGAAATTCTCGGCGTGAGGAAGCACTTGGTTTACCATTGTCAAGCAACTCATTAGCATCAAATTGGTTGGCATTCTGAACATCACCTTTCAGTGTACGCCGCGGTTTCAGCTGATTTGCGTGACGTCTCCATACCTGCGCACCAACTTGAACATCGTACATCACCCGTCCCCGACATCGCACGATGCGTCCTGGTATCCAGCTGATCCGCCGTCCCTGAATAGCCGCTGCAGATACAAATTCGCCAACTCTGAACATCCTTCTCCGTGCTCCGTACCGCCTGTTGTATTGCTGCTCCATTGCTAAGTTCCCTGTTTGTGGGCGAGGACGCCTGGGTGTCAGCAAATCCAGTGTAGTTCTCAATCTGCGACCCATTAGGACTTCAGCTGGTGAATTCCCATCGGGTGCATTGGGATTGGGAGTCACTCGATAATTCAGTAGGAACCGCTCCAGTTTTTCGTCCAACGTTGCCTCGCTTTTTGACTTCAAAAGTGCTCTTTTCATGGTATCGACGAATCTTTCCGCTTGGCCATTTGACTGTGGATAATATGGTGCTGTCCTCACGTGCTCGATTCCATTTTGTGCGCAAAACTCGGCGAATTGATAGGACGTAAACTGCGATCCGTTGTCGGAAATAACGGTGTTTGGTTGGCCATGCTGACTGAATACATGTCTCATTTCCGAGATCGTGCTGTTTGAGGACGTGGTTTTCATCCGGATCACTTCTGGCCACTTACTGTACGCGTCAACCATCACGAGAAATTCTACACCCTCGACTGGTCCTGCGAAATCAACGTGTATGCGCGACCAGGGAGATTCTGGATTTGACCAAGATTGCAATGGCACACGCACTGGCAGTTTGGATGCACTGATGCACCTGGAACAGGATCGACCGATATCCCCAATTCGGCTGTTCAGCATCGGCCAAAAGACGTAGCTGCGAGCGAGTGCCTTCATGCGGGCGATTCCTGGATGGCCCTTTTGCAGCTCTCTTAGTATGCGCTGTCTGAGCACTTCTGGAATGACTATGCGATCTGCGAAAAACAGACAGGAATCAACTTCCGACAGTGCGCCTCGCCTTGTGCAGAACTGGGTCAAAGCTTCGTTCGGACACTTCTTTGGCCATCCACTTCTTGTATAGGTTAATACTTCTTACAGCACAGCGTCCTGTTTAGTGGCTTGCGCAACCATTAAACCATTCACTGGCAAGTTACACACTGCGTCTTGTATCATGTAGCTGACGTCCGATTCGGCTGCAATGGATGCAATGACTGCGTCTTCTTGATCGCGTCTACCGGTATTGATCAATCTGGACAGGGCGTCCGCTTGTCCAATAGAGTCAGTGGACAAAAACCGCATGCCAAAATCATACCCAAGGAGCAGATTTGCCCAGCGCTGAAGTCGACTGGCTGTATATGTCGGAATGCCTTTCTTAGATCCAAATGTAGCGAGAACGACACGACAGGGGGGTAGACGTTTATTGCACACCGAAAATGGGCACATAAGGGTCTCACGCGCGCCATCGAATATCGACTAGATTTCCGTCCCACCACGCAACACAGGTGCGGATGTTAGAGACGAGCCAGTCCTTTCGCCTCGGGAGCTCTGACTTGGAAGTCCCGCCTTCCTGTTTTCGCCTCGATCTCCACTTCTCTGTATCCGATTTGGATCGGCCAGGAGTCGTTCGAGAGCCCTCGACTTGCTTGTTCTGGGCTGTGTCAATCGGCTCGGCGTCGGTCCTGTGGGCTGCGCTAGCGGCGTATATGTCTGATTCATTGCGCTGTCCACATATTCCCGCTCCGTAGTTCTGGGCCCAGGCTCGTCGCTAGCCGTCCTTCTCGATCCGCTCTCAGCTAGCTCCGAAGAGCTCCCCAGAGCCATTCTTGGACGCGGCCCCTCTACACCCGCCCCTCCTCGAGGACCTTTCTTCCTCTCGTACCATGGTCGCAGGAGAGCAGCATTCACCCAACGTTTCATCCCACCGCAGTCGATTAAGAAGTTGCCCGCTTTCTGGTCGATTATGGTGTAGGGGCCTTTCCAGCGTTCTCTGAACTTGCTTGCGCCCGGCCCGTCATGATCCGGCCGATCGTTGTTCCGTAACTTGACCCGTTCTCCAATCCTGAATGGCCTCCACTTGTGAGCCTCATGTCTGGCGTCGTAATTTCGCCTATTCCGCGCTTGTCGAGCTTTGGTTTCGTTTCTAGCTTTCCATCGCAGTCGCTCTTGACGCTCAGCTGGATGTTTCCACTCACCCTGGTTCGGTAGGCAAGTATCGAGCGCAATCCGTGGTTCTCTGCCGAACAGTAATTCGAATGGCGAGACTTTGGTGGTTGATTGCATGCTGGTCCGATACGCGATCAGAACCTGAGGCAAAGCATCTTCCCATGCCAACTTCGTGCAGTTGATCCACGTCTTCAATGTCCGGTTGAACCGCTCGGTCATGCCGTTGGTTTGTGGGTGGTACGGTGAAGTTCGCCGTCTCTGGATGCCCCACTTGTCCAACACTGACTTAAACGCTCTTGACTCGAAGCAGGGCCCTTGGTCCGTGATGATACACTGTGGGATCCCATACCTTGCAGGCACATTGAATTCGAATACTTGCGACACTGTCTCGCCTGTTTGGTCCTTGATTGGTATGGCTTCCACCCATTGAGTGAAGTGGTCAATCATCACTAGAATGTATCTGTTTCCTGTTCGACTCACTGGTAAGGGCCCAAAGACGTCCAGTCCCCAACACTGAAGTGGCTCACCAACCTCCATCGATCGCATCGGCGGTCTCGGGGACTCCATCTCCCGACTCGTTTGGCAGTTTGGGCACCCCCGAATGTATGCCGCGACGTCCTTCCTCATGGTTGGCCAAAACACTCGCCTCCGCAGCAATTCAAAGACCCGCTCGAATCCCATATGGGCGCCATCATGAGTTATGCGCATCACACGTTCTCGCTGATTTGGTGGAACAAAAGGCACTTTCCGTCCGTCTATCGCCACCACCACGTTATCGTTTTCGACCTTCAACCTGTCCCAGATCTTGAGGAGTTCCTCCACCTCCTCCGATGTAGCCTCCGGTTTGGTGCCAGCCCGTAAGTGAGAGCACAACACATTCACGAATTCATCTGTCCTTTGATCTCCCAGCAGGTTCCTCTCCCCCATCGCGATCGCACGCACCGGTATGGCATTGTCGGGCATGATGTCGTCCAAAGACGGGCGTGACAACATATCTGGCAATACATTTTACGTTCCATCCACGTGCTCAATGGTGAAGTTGAATTCCTGCAATCGGTAGGCCCATCGCGCAAGCCGTCCCCGCGGGTCTTTCGCCGTCATCAACCACGAGAGCGGTTTGTGGTCAGTGACGACCCGGAATTCATTCGCCAGCAAGTAATTTCTCCACTTCTCTAACGCCCATACGATGGCCAAGCATTCTTTCTCCGTTGTTGAATACTTCTGTTCCGCCCCCGTCAGCACTCTGCTCGCGTACTCCACCACCCCAGCCGGTTGAGACAAAACCGCACCGATTGCCACGTTGCTTGCGTCGACAGCCACAGTGAACCTCTCACCAGGATTGGGTAGCCGTAGACATGTCGGGGCTTCTGCTATGCATGCCTTTAGATGGTCAAAGGCCTGATCCGCTTCAGCTGTCCACACGAAGGGCACGTCCTTGCGAAGCAGCTTTAACAACGGGCTGACCTTCTCTGCGAACTGGGGCACAAACTTTGAATCATATGCCACCACTCCCAAGAACGAACGGAGCTGACGCTTGGATTTTGGTTTCGCGAAGCACTTGATCGTCTCGCGTTTCTCCGGAAGTGGATGGACTTGACCATTGCCCACGATGTGACCCAAGCATACAATTGACTTTTGGGAAATCTGCGACTTTTTACGACTGAGTTTCAGACCAACTTCATCTAGCCTCTGCAGTACTGCTCCAAGTCTGGTCACATGATCCTGTTCCGTCTCAGAGAAGACGATGATGTCATCACCGTACACAACCACGCCTTGCAGGTTCGCCAGGACCATCAGCAACAAACGCCTGAATGTAGCCGGGGCGTTGCACAATCCAAACGGCATTCTCAAAAACTCATACTGCTGGCCAATGACACTGAAAGCCGTCTTGTGGCGATCTTCTTCTGCGATCGGCAGTTGCCAATATCCCGAGCGGAGATCAATCAGAGATATCTGCTTCGCACTGTGAAGGCTTGAGAAAATTTCTTCCATCTGATTTCAGAGAACTAAACAGGGTGACGGTGAAGGATGCATTCCCGATGCCTCAGATGGAAGAAATTTTCTCAAGCCTTCACAGTGCAAAGCAGATATCTCTGATTGATCTCCGCTCGGGATATTGGCAACTGCCGATCGCAGAAGAAGATCGCCACAAGACGGCTTTCAGGGTCATTGGCCAGCAGCATGAGTTTTTGAGAATGCCGTTTGGATTGTGCACCGCCCCGGCTACATTCAGGCGTTTGTTGCTGATGGTCCTGGCGAACCTGCAAGGCGTGGTTGTGTACGGTGATGACATCATCGTCTTCTCTGAGACGGAACAGGATCATGTGACCAGACTTGGAGCAGTGCTGCAGAGGCTAGATGAAGCTGGTCTGAAACTCAGTCGTAAAAAGTCGCAGATTGCCCAAAAGTCAATTGTATGCTTGGGTCACATCGTGGGCAATGGTCAAGTCCATCCACTTCCGGAGAAACGCGAGACGATCAAGTGCTTCGCAAAACCAAAATCCAAGCGTCAGCTCCGTTCGTTCTTGGGAGTGGTGGCATGTGATTCAAAGTTTGTGCCCCAGTTCGCAGAGAAGGTCAGCCCGTTGTTAAAGCTGCTTCGCAAGGACGTGCCCTTCGTGTGGACAGCTGAAGCGGATCAGGCCTTTGACCAGCTAAAGGCATGCATAGCAGAAGCCCCGACATGTCTACGGCTACCCAATCCTGGTGAGAGGTTCACTGTGGCTGTCGACGCAAGCAACGTGGCCATCGGTGCGGTTTTGTCTCAACCGGCTGGGGTGGTGGAGTACGCGAGCAGAGTGCTGACGGGGGCGGAACAGAAGTATTCAACAACGGAGAAAGAATGCTTGGCCATCGTATGGGCGTTAGAGAAGTGGAGAAATTACTTACTGGCGAATGAATTCCGGGTCGTCACTGACCACAAACCGCTCTCGTGGTTGATGACGGCGAAAGACCCGCGGGGACGGCTTGCGCGATGGGCCTACCGATTGCAGGAATTCAACTTCACCATTGAGCACGTGGATGGAACGTAAAATGTATTGCCAGATATGTTGTCACGCCCGTCTTTGGACGACATCATGCCCGACAATGCCATACCGGTGCGTGCGATCGCGATGGGGGAGAGGAACCTGCTGGGAGATCAAAGGACAGATGAATTCGTGAATGTGTTGTGCTCTCACTTACGGGCTGGCACCAAACCGGAGGCTACATCGGAGGAGGTGGAGGAACTCCTCAAGATCTGGGACAGGTTGAAGGTCGAAAACGATAACGTGGTGGTGGCGATAGACGGACGGAAAGTGCCTTTTGTTCCACCAAATCAGCGAGAACGTGTGATGCGCATAACTCATGATGGCGCCCATATGGGATTCGAGCGGGTCTTTGAATTGCTGCGGAGGCGAGTGTTTTGGCCAACCATGAGGAAGGACGTCGCGGCATACATTCGGGGGTGCCCAAACTGCCAAACGAGTCGGGAGATGGAGTCCCCGAGACCGCCGATGCGATCGATGGAGGTTGGTGGGCCACTTCAGTGTTGGGGACTGGACGTCTTTGGGCCCTTACCAGTGAGTCGAACAGGAAACAGATACATTCTAGTGATGATTGACCACTTCACTCAATGGGTGGATGCCATACCAATCAAGGACCAAACAGGCGAGACAGTGTCGCAAGTATTCGAATTCAATGTGCCTGCAAGGTATGGGATCCCACAGTGTATCATCACGGACCAAGGGCCCTGCTTCGAGTCAAGAGCGTTTAAGTCAGTGTTGGACAAGTGGGGCATCCAGAGACGGCGAACTTCACCGTACCACCCACAAACCAACGGCATGACCGAGCGGTTCAACCGGACATTGAAGACGTGGATCAACTGCACGAAGTTGGCATGGGAAGATGCTTTGCCTCAGGTTCTGATCGCGTATCGGACCAGCATGCAATCAACCACCAAAGTCTCGCCATTCGAATTACTGTTCGGCAGGGAACCACGGATTGCGCTCAATACTTGCCTACCGAACCAGGGTGAGTGGAAACATTCAGCTGAGCGTCAAGAGCGACTGCGATGGAAAGCTAGAAACGAAACCAAAGCTCGACAAGCGCGGAATAAGCGAAATTACGACGCCAGGCATGAGGCTCACAAGTGGAGGCCATTCAGGATTGGAGAACGGGTCAAGTTACGGAACAACGATCGGCCGGATCATGACGGGCCGGGCGCAAGCAAGTTCAGAGAACGCTGGAAAGGCCCCTACACCATAATCGACCAGAAAGCGGGCAACTTCTTAATCGACTGCGGTGGGATGAAACGTTGGGTGAATGCTGCTCTCCTGCGACCATGGTACGAGAGGAAGAAAGGTCCTCGAGGAGGGGCGGGTGTAGAGGGGCCGCGTCCAAGAATGGCTCTGGGGAGCTCTTCGGAGCTAGCTGAGAGCGGATCGCGAAAGACGGCTAGCGACGAGCCTGGGCCCGGAACTACGGAGCGGGAATATGTGGACAGCGCAATAAATCAGACAAATACGCCGCTAGCGCAGCCCACAGGACCGACGCCGAGCCGATTGACACAGCCCAGAACAAGCAAGTCGAGGGCTCTCGAACGACTCCTGGCCGATCCAAATCGGATACAGAGAAGTGGAGATCGAGGCGAAAACAGGAAGGCGGGACTTCCAAGTCAGAGCTCCCGAGGCGAAAGGACTGGCTCGTCTCTAACATCCGCACCTGTGTTGCGTGGTGGGACGGAAATCTAGTCGATATTCGATGGCGCGCGTGAGACCCTTATGTGCCTATTTTCGGTGTGCAATAAACGTCTACCCCCCTGTCGTGTCGTTCTCGCTACATTTGGATCTAAGAAAGGCATTCCGACATATACAGCCAGTCGACTTCAGCGCTGGGCAAATCTGCTCCTTGGGTATGATTTTGGCATGCGGTTTTTGTCCACTGACTCTATTGGACAAGCGGACGCCCTGTCCAGATTGATCAATACCGGTAGACGCGATCAAGAAGACGCAGTCATTGCATCCATTGCAGCCGAATCGGACGTCAGCTACATGATACAAGACGCAGTGTGTAACTTGCCAGTGAATGGTTTAATGGTTGCGCAAGCCACTAAACAGGACGCTGTGCTGTAAGAAGTATTAACCTATACAAGAAGTGGATGGCCAAAGAAGTGTCCGAACGAAGCTTTGACCCAGTTCTGCACAAGGCGAGGCGCACTGTCGGAAGTTGATTCCTGTCTGTTTTTCGCAGATCGCATAGTCATTCCAGAAGTGCTCAGACAGCGCATACTAAGAGAGCTGCAAAAGGGCCATCCAGGAATCGCCCGCATGAAGGCACTCGCTCGCAGCTACGTCTTTTGGCCGATGCTGAACAGCCGAATTGGGGATATCGGTCGATCCTGTTCCAGGTGCATCAGTGCATCCAAACTGCCAGTGCGTGTGCCATTGCAATCTTGGTCAAATCCAGAATCTCCCTGGTCGCGCATACACGTTGATTTCGCAGGACCAGTCGAGGGTGTAGAATTTCTCGTGATGGTTGACGCGTACAGTAAGTGGCCAGAAGTGATCCGGATGAAAACCACGTCCTCAAACAGCACGATCTCGGAAATGAGACATGTATTCAGTCAGCATGGCCAACCAAACACCGTTATTTCCGACAACGGATCGCAGTTTACGTCCTATCAATTCGCCGAGTTTTGCGCACAAAATGGAATCGAGCACGTGAGGACAGCACCATATTATCCACAGTCAAATGGCCAAGCGGAAAGATTCGTCGATACCATGAAAAGAGCACTTTTGAAGTCAAAAAGCGAGGCAACGTTGGACGAAAAACTGGAGCGGTTCCTACTGAATTATCGAGTGACTCCCAATCCCAATGCACCCGATGGGAATTCACCAGCTGAAGTCCTAATGGGTCGCAGATTGAGAACTACACTGGATTTGCTGACACCCAGGCGTCCTCTCCCACAAACAAGGAACTTAGGAATGGAGCAGCAATACAACAGGCGGTACGGAGCACGGAGAAGGATGTTCAGAGTTGGCGAATTTGTATCTGCAGCGGCTATTCAGGGACGGCGGATCAGCTGGATAGCAGGACGCATCTTGCGACGTCTGGGACGGGTGATGTACCATGTTCAAATTGGTGCGCAGGTATGGAGACGCCACGCAAATCAGCTGAAACCGCGGCGTACACTGGAAGGTGATGTTCCGAATGCCAACAGATTTGGTGTTAATGAATTGCTTGACAATGGCAAACCAAGTGATTCTTCACGCCGAGAATTTCAGACAAGGGAATGCCCGGAACAAGGTCGGAACAGACCCCAACGAACAAGAAAATTTGTACAGCCGTTTCAAGTGGACCCGCGTCGGAAAAGCTCTGTTCCGTACAGGTAACTAACTATTTAGAAGGGGGAGATGTTAAGGAGCTGGCTACTTAACCCTCAGTTTCATGAATTATGTTAGTTGCCTGTTTCTTTGTTTGCGCAGTTACCTGCTTCTCTGCTACATTTTGGACACGCCGCTTTCCTCAGCCTCATTCGCAATCGCTCACAGCTAATTTCAGCCGTCTCATTCTGTGGACATTCTGATTGGTTTCTTTTGTTCAGCGTTCCTTAGCTTTTTCATGTGGATGTATTATTCAGCCGACACATATTTATTATACCTGTTTTTATTTTCCTGATGTGTATCATTCTCACTATCAACTGTTCTGGCATTTGTTTAAACGCATCGCTTCTCCACACTGATTGGACGCTACTCGTCGTTTTTAATGGTCGCTCACCAGAAGGTTGCCCCAGGGATTAACTCCGCAGACACTATTTTCTTTGCCGCACTTCATTGGCTCGTAATTTTCGCGATTCTCATTTGCTTGTTCCATTTTGTGTTTTCTCCATGCCTGTTGGATCTCATGCGTTTAGTAGCTTGGATTTGCCCTTGTTTGTAAAGCCATATAACTGGTGCCGTGCTGTAATAGAAAATCTGTTCATCCCGGCTCATCTTGGACTTCTTCTTGCGGTCGTGGGGTGAAGGCGTACTGGGCGTCACAACAACTTCAATCGAAACGTGTATGCACTACGGAAGCGTAGCGGCTTCTAAGCAACGGAATACTGCACGATCCGCTTCGTTTGAAACGCCATCAGCCACTTCGCCATCTCCGTTGTTTTCTCTAAATTTAGTAGAAAGCCAGACGAAAACATACCGTATCTACGAGAGTCAAACAATACTCATAGCAACGAAAATCAGGCACTACTCTTAAATTCTGCTTAAGCAACTTCCAATTTACCTGACATCGAGGATTAACAAATATGAAGCAGCCGAACAAGAACCCTCGGTACCTGATGCTTAATCCTCTCTCGTGGAGACAAAGACCCCCGCAACCTCAGTTACATGTGCAGTGATTGCTGCAAAGGTCCATAGGGAGGCCGCCGTTGCGGCCTCTTTTGTTGGAAATACCATTAATGCGAATAGTGGGACAAACAGTAAACAGTCCACACTTGTCAGCAGGTCAGAACAAACGAGTACCATCCCTTGTAGATCAACGAAAAGAGATCCAACAATAGAGACCGGATTGTTGTATGTTCGAATGTCCCTGAACCTACAGCCATCACATTGCGGGATAAGTTATCAAACGACCAAAACCAATGGAACTCATTGTGCCTGCTGATGAGTGTCATAGCCAAGCCCATAAAGTTACTACGAATTACTCGTCATCTGAACTCGCCACACTATGAAGAACCCAGACATATTCGAGATCCATAAGAATCCTACAGTGAAGTAGAAAGGGTTTGCTCTCCGCAAGCGTTCTATAACACGGATCCTGTGGGATACGCATGTCTCATGATGTCCATGGGTGAGCGCGACACTAAAAAGCAACAACGAAGATGGACGCAGCAAGCAAGACCGCCTAAACACCATGTTTATACATGGCGTGCCAGAACATCCTTCTAACGATGTTCAAGAGACCGGCAAACACGCTTCAGAACAGTGGCATTTAACTCGTGAAAAACTCTTTAGATAATATTGTAGAGCTATCGCTCACAAGGATACCTCTCTCACCAAATTATAGAGGATGCGGCCCTAGAATTCTAAAACTTGTGGTTCAGTCAAAGCAACAAACAACGGATATTTTGGATCGATGGAAGTGAAATCGGAAATGTCTTCATTATGCACATCGGTTAAAGGTCGCAGAAGCCTTCGAAAGCTCGAATTTGAAAGCACCTGAAGCAGCAGACGTACACACGATTGTACAGGTGTTCAAGGTGACTGCTTATGAAAATTGAGGGAACGCCTCCTCTGTTCTGATGGCGTCATTGCCTGATAAGATTGTCGCTGGCACGGTTAGAGCACGCCTAAGATGACGACTTGTAACGCTGGCCAATCGTACGGAGTCGCGCTGACCTGATGGCGCTAGCTTAGCCGGTGAGACGGAAAATTGAGCTAGCGTGTGAACGATCCTAGCCGCACTTGTTCGGATAGAAACTGAGGCCTCGGAAACGGACACACACGAGGGAGGAGGTACGACAGACGCGCGCTAATGTATTAGACGCGAAGGCTGGCCAGCAAACGACTCACACGCAATCACGTGACCCGACCGACTTCCAACTGAGGCGAAGAGAAAGGAAAGGCAAGTGGTCCTCTGTAGGTTCTTTTACGACCAACGAAGAGCAATCACAGCCAGTGCTATGGGTTATTGAGTTAGGGAAAACAGTCATCATGAAGAGGTGGTAGTTTGCAAATGAGCATTGTCGAAAGGTGCGCAGTTGGGGCACGTCTCGGAGTGGCTGAGCTCTGCTGCGTTGTGAGGAGGAATTGGACCTTAGTTTCCACAGCCATTCTGCCGGGGTTTCTGGCGTGTTTTTGCGGGAATATTTGACGTGCTCGCAACACCTCCCTTTGAAGAGAAATCGGACCGCTTCTGGCGAGGATTGACCTGGAGGGATTTCGGTGACCTCCGGATTCTTTCTGTTCGTCGGCATGGTGGGTTCTCGAGACGCGGCGGCGACTGAGAGGCTTCGACCGTGGTCTCCCATTGTGGAGGCATTCCAAAGGTATCCAGCAGGATGTGCAGCGGCAGGCGCGCGGGATAGCTGGCTGGCGTGGAGGTTTCTCCGTGTCGCGGACGAAGTTGATTGCGATGGCGAACCCAGGTGTCATCACCCACGGAGACATCATGCAGCATGTCACCTCGCCTGGCCGTCGCTGTTGCTTTGATCCAGCGAGGATGACTTGCTCGGTAATCGCGAGCGTAGACCGGAGCTCCAACGAAGAATTCTTTGTGCTTGCTGTAGGCGCCAACGTGACTAGGTGGCTTCTCAGTCGGAATGAGCGCTTCGTTGGTTGTGCGTAGCTTACGGCCCATCAATGCTTCAGATGGTGACTGGCATCCTGGCGTAGCTGGGTTCGGTGTGGATCGGTAAGAGAGGAGGAAGGCTTGAAGACAGTCATCCACGGTCCCCTCCCCGCGAGATATCAAAAGTGCCCTCTTGAAGGTGTCGACAAATCGCTCCGATTGACCATTGGATTGGGGCTGGTAAGGCGGTGAGTGAACGTGTTCGATTCAGTGGCGGCGACAACAGTCTTCGAAGATAGAAGACGAAAACTGGGTACCATTTTCGGACACCAAAACCTCGGGAAGGCCATGTTGACTGAAGATACGTTGGAGACAAGCCAGAGTGGCGGATGCGGTTAGGGGTTGACGGCGACCACTTCCGGCCATTTGAAATAGGCGTCGACCACGACCAGATAGGAAATGCCATCGATGGGACCAGCGTAATCGATGTGCACTCGAGACCATGGTTTTGTTGGCGGATACCAAGGAACTGGTGATTGGTGTGGCGGCACCTTTGAGGCTTGTTGACAATCCTGGAACACATGAGCGGACTGACTGGCTTTGTGGTCGGTTCGGTCGTTTGGTACTGTCGGAGTATGTACCACATTGCAGATGTCCCGAAGAGGAAGATCGGCCAAGCCAAGGGTTTCGAGCCAGTCGAGAACAAGCACGTGGATCTTCGCGTTTGTGGTGTAGCAGGTCACGTTGAATGTGGCGCCCCGGAAGGAGACGGAGCAGTGCAGCTGCCCAGTTAGCTGCACCCGGCCACCTCAAGCGCTGGTGGCAGATTGGAAGGTTGGTTCGTACG